CAAACATTTCGTTCAGATTTTCCTTTGTATTCTTGTAAAAAAAATACATTCATTGTGACAAATCCACCTGAGCTCATTTTTCTTTTTTCACAATTCCTATCTATTTTCAATTTTTTTTTGCTGTTGTTTTATTTATTTTTAATTGGGTTGAAATTGATGCTAATGGATCAATTGGTTTCATCATTAATAAAAAATAGAATATTGCTTCCTGCACCCATCAATTTTGGAATATGTTTTCGGGAACAACAAGAAGAATAGGTTTTTTGAATAAATTTTCGAAACACTTCTTTCACTTTTGTTTTCAACTGCACTGTGAAAGAAGGGAAGAGAGAGTTCTTCATATTCTAAAAAACCTGTTTTAGAAAAATTAGTTTCGAAATATATTTCATGCATTTTGAAAAGTTTGTTTCAGAAAGTTTATTATATATTTCGAAAAGTTCATTCTATACCTATTTTTTCATAAAGCTGATTGCACAATGTATCTCATATTGTTGAAAAGCGTATTCCAAAATTCCTGTTTTAGAAATTGTTATGAAAAATTTGATTTTTTTTTTCTGAAAGATTTCCTCAACAAATAATCCAAAAATCACATATGAAGAGTAAAATATCCTTTTAAAAACTACTAAGTGCAAAATTTAGGCAATTTCTTTCTGCACCCCCTCAAATATTTTTTTACCCTTTTTTTCTTGGAGTTGTGGCTTCTCCCTCTCACTCACCATGCATAGTTGGATTTTTATCTTCACCTTCAATTTGTTGGCTTTGTTAAGATTTTTGGCATGTATTTTTCTTACCAAAGTGAGTTATTTGAAAATTCACCGGAATAAGAAATTGGAAATAGAGGAGGTGTAGGTCTCAGATCAGGAAATCTGGAATATATTACCAGAAAAAAAATGTTCGCAATATGTTTCTGGAATAAGTTTTCTAGAAATATTGTTTCCGAAAAAAATGAATGGTTAAGTTTTTTTATGATGGAAAATGGAACCTGGTCGAAAGGGTGAGACTTTGTTTGGTGAAAGGTTTGGGAGAATGTTACGTGATCTGTGTTGGGTATGTTGGATAGGTGAGCGATACCATTTCATGGATGAAAGGTAGAATGTAAAATAAAATCAGAATAAGCCCGTATAATAGATTGATAAGTTAAGTAAAACTTCCCTACATATTAATCTTTAGTTTTTTTAAGAATCAAGTGTTCTAATTTAAGAATTAAGAAAATTCTTTTTCAAAATTAAATGCATATAATATGATTCAAAAATATCTATGTAAGTTTTTGGCAACTAAGTTTAACAAAATTTAAAAATCCTAACCCAAATACAAAAATAATAAAAACAAAAATTACATATGTAGAATTTTGTCTAGGTTGTCCAACGACTTTAACATTTTGTAAAATTAAAAAAAAATTATTTAATTTACTAAATTATTCTTCAATTATATTTATAGTCTTCATGTTAAAAACATGTTAAAGAAAGATATTTTTTCTTGGTTTGATGAAGCTAAGTTGACATTTCAGTGTCTTAAGTATCAATTAAGCCAGACACTTATATTGGTCTTAAATGATTTTACAAAGACTTTTGTAGTGGAGATGGATGCTTCAAGAGTGGAGGTAGGAACTTTCCAACAAAAATGCTTGGTAAAACTCATGGAATTTGATTTCATTATTGAATATAAACAAGGAATTGAAAACCAAGCTATTGATGCACTTTCAAGGTTTGAATGTGCTATTATCTCTACACACCAACCATAATCTAATATAGAGAAAATCAAAGCATATTGGCAGGGTGATGATGCTTTACAAAAACTGATTGCTAAAGTTATGATAAATCCTTATTCACATAAGGATTTCTCTTGGACTGTGGAGAACTAAGGAGCAAAGGGAAGTTGGTCATTAGTAGAAATCTTTAATTGAGAAGGGAAATACTTGATTGGTTGCATTCTTCATCATGTGACAATCATTCAGGAATATATGTCGCTTATATAGAGTCAAGATTGTGATGTATTGGAAAGGATTGTGTAAGGATGTTAAAAGATTTGTCCATTAATGCACTACCTTCCATCAATGTAAGTATGATAATTTTGCCTCTTCTAGGTTTCTACAACCACTCTCAGTCCTTGATCTTATTAGGCAACACATTAATGAAGCAACTAGCTGACAAAAGTAGGTTCGATAGGTCTTTGAAATTGGAGATTTAGTGTTTGTGAAATTGCATCCTTATAGAAATCTCGGTAATATTTAAGAGTAGTGCCAAATTAGCTCCAAAATACTAGGAACCTTATACTATAACCGATAAGGTTGGAGAAGTAGCCTACAAGATCCAATTAACAGTTGGGTCACTCATTCATAAACTGTTTCATGTGTTCCAATTGAAGAAGTTTGTAGGAAATGCTAGCACATCAACTCATTATCCAAGGAATGCTGAAGAATCAATAATCAAATATCCAGAGGCGATCATAGAAATGATGAAAGTCAAGAGGCGAAACAAGGTTGTTACTAAGGTTCTTGTCTAATGGAAGCATCTTCTGTTAGAGGATGCAACTTGAGAATTCTTCTTTGATTTAAAGAAGAAGTTTCCTAACTTTACTACTCGAGGACAAGGATTACCTTAAGGAGGGGTGATTGGTTTAGGATTATATGCTAGTTGTTCATAGCCATTAGATGAGTGCAGTAATACACATTAGATGAGTGTGCCAGACACCTTTTCTTGGTTAGACGAACCAAACATTAGATATTAGTTGAATTTGTCAATACACTAATTATACGAGTCTAAAAATATATATTGTTGAATACAGTGAAAACTATATATGGGATTAATCTCCCCTTTTTTTTAATATACACATAGGGTCCTCTATTTATAATAGAAGAAATATAAGCTAAGCCCAAAATAAAAAAAAGAAATAATAACAAACTAAAGATAAAAGATAAATATAAAAAAAAGATAATATATCTAATACTTCCCCTCAAGTTAGTGCATATATATCGTATGTACCAAGCTTGTTACAAATATAATCCATAAAGAGTCAGTGAAAACATCTGCCAAATTACTAATGATTTATAAGACGACATAGAAGATGAAATACCAACCAAGAAGACTCCCCTGAGTAACAAATCTGGGATGGTTCTCCGTGTAAATTTCTTCTTGCAAATCTCTTCTTGAAAACATCTGCCAAATCGTCTTTTATGCGAGTCAGATTTCAACCCGGCTCATGCGAGTTGAACCTGTGGTGGGCCGGGTTAGCCCACCAACCCACCTACTTTATTTTATTTTATTAAAATTTAATTTTAATTTTAATTTTATTTTATTTTTGTTTGAAAAAATTATTTAAGTTCCTTATTTTCAAAATTAATTAAACACTCATGTTGGGAGTGAAATTTGTTTAGATTTGAATTATAGAAAGTTTGTAATATTTTTTTATTTTAAAAAAATATAATTAAGTGAGCTAGTGAGCTAACTCATTTAAAAGAGTGACGAAAAACAAAATCGTTAGATAGTTGAAGGACTAAAAACATATTTAATCCTAAAAATAAATAAAAATAGTTTTTGATATATGTTGTGAACTAGGAATTATTTTAAATTCTATTACTTGATTTTGTATTGAGATATTTAAATTCTGTTAAAATATATTATTTTTATTTTGTACAGAATAATTCATATTTTATGATATATCTGTATTTTAATTTTATTTTTTACATGTATTTTACTTTTATTTACTAGAAATTATATTTTAATTATTTTTTTTCTTTTTTATGATTAATTTATCTTTACATCTTATTTTCGTAACATTCTACTAATATTATTTTTATGTATATATTTATATTATTTTTATTATTATTAATATTGATATTATTATTATTTTGATATATATTATCATAAAATAATATAATTATTTAATATTTTTACATGATTATAACCTTATTTTCATAACACATTTATATGTTATACATTTTTATAATAATTAAATATATATTTCTTAAATTTATTTAAATAAATCTAGTAAAAATTATATTATTTTTTAAAAGAAATTAAAAAGAAAATAAAACCCTGAATATACACTGATGACATAGGTAAAATGAAAAATTAATCATTACTCTCAGATATCAGGTGCTTATGCATTAGGAAATTTAAAGAAAACAGTAGGTGTTAATTGTTTAAACAAGGGTAGTTTTAATATTTCACCAGTATATTATATTTCAATATTTATAATTGATAAGGAATATAAAACGTTTATATACTTTTAAAAAAATAGTTTTTTTGAACTGGGGATTATTTTAAGTTCTGTTATTTGTTGGTTAGTTGATTTTGTATTGAGATATTTAAATTCCCTTATATTTTATTATTTTCATTTTTGTACTTATTTATATTTTATAATATATTTATATTTTATTTTTTTACATACATTTTATTTTTATGTACTTTGAAATTATATTTTAATTCTTTGCATATTTTTTCTTTTTTTATTAATTTATCATTACATTTTTGCGTTCTTATAGCATGTAACATAAAAGGATGCCTACTAATATTATTTTTATGTACATATTTAAATTATTATTATTTATACTAGATATTATTATTTTAATATATTATCATAAAATAATATAATTATTTAATATTTTTACATCATTCAACTTTTTATTTCCATAAGACTATATATTATTATAATATTTAAATAGATGTTTTTAATTTATTTAAATAAATATAATAACAATTATATTATTTTTCTAAAAGAAATTAAAAAGAAGAAAAAAAAATACACTGATCACATACTAGTAGATGTTTAAATAGGGATAGTTTTAATATTTTAACAGTATATTATATTTCAATATTTATAGTTGATAATCAACCTAAAATCTTTATACAATAGATTAAAAAATAAATAAAAATAGTTTTTGACATGTACAACTAAAATTAATTTAAATTCTGTTACTGATTTGTTACTTGATTTTGTTTTGAGATATTTAAATTCTGTTACTCTTTCTATTTAAATTCTGTTACTCTTTCCTATTCCTTATTTTTTTTCACTGACATGGACTTTAGAGAAGACTTTGCCTTGCTGTCGGAACAGCGCCGGGAGTTCGCCATGGCGGAGGTCATAGAATCCGACCTGGAATTTGCCTTTGGCCTCCAATTGCAGGAGGCTCTCGAGGCCTCCCTCGCTTTGAATCCGTCTTCTTCCTCCGCTGTTATCGAACAGCCTACTGTTGACGAGCTGAACGCGACCTCAGTGCAGAGTGAGGAGTTGGAGCGTGTGGAGTGCGAGATGAAGGACAAGGAGCAGAGCGAGAGGGAAATGCAGAAGATGAGGGAGGATCTCTGTCGAAGGATCCACGACGAGAAGGTGGCGAGGGATATATTGACGATTTCTGAGGCGGATTGGCAGCAGTGGGGCGATAACTTTGAGAAGCCGTTCGGTGAGGGTTCATCATCTTCGGGTAGGACGGAGACGGAGGAAGGCTGGGTTAGGGTTTACTTGAAGGGTTTGGTGAGCGAGGAAAACGTGAGGGGGGAGAAGGTTGTGTTATCTGGGATAGGGGTTGCGATTTGTGACCGTAGTGATAATTTGATATTTGAGGTTTCTAAGTCGGTGATTGAGAATGGCACTAGCAAGGTCGCTGTGGAGATTAAGGCGTTGATTGAAGCCTTCAATATGGTCCTTGCTTTGGAATTAAAGCGCATAGTTTACTATACCGATTATTATCCACTTCTCCAATATGTGAGTCCTTATGAACATCTTATGTTTAAAAATACATGTCTTTAAACAATCATAGTTTACTTGCGAGTTACTTTAAAATGGGACAATGTAGGTTTATGATTTATGAATGTGGCATGTGAGGTCTTTTTTTTTCATCAGGAGACAAGTTTTTGTGACATTTACATGAACTAGGGATCAAAAGGTCTGACAGACTAAGATCAGTCATTAAAGATTCTAGTTGTAGGCACTAATTAAAAAACGAGCAATTTTTTCATTGTTGAATTGATTTGGGGAGTTTTTTCTGATAAAAGACGTCGTTGTTGATCTGTTAAAGATTGTGTTTTTGGATTATGATGTGGCTGAAATTTCATTTTGTTTGTTGGTGGTTTTAGGACGGTAATGGATGAGTGAGAGGATATGATGTTATGTGTATTTTTAAGGGTTTTGATATCTTGTTTTTTTGGTAGGTGAGAGGAAACTGGTCTGCAAAACAGCGGAAGATTGCCATGTTGGTTGATCAAGTTCATCTGCTTCAGAGGAAGTTTACATACTGCGATTCAAGGCTTTTGGCCAGAAATGATGTCAAGTTTGCATTTAAGCTTGCGAGGGATGCGATTGTGTCTCAGTCTATGAGACCCTCGGGACCTGGGAGTACAAGGAGTTTGAATGAAAATTGTGCTATATGTTTGGAGGATACTGCTGTCAGTCAGATTTTTTCAGTTGATGGATGTCAACACCGCTATTGCTTTTCTTGCATGAAACAACATGTTGAGGTGAAGTTGCTTCATGGAATGGTGCCTAAGTGCCCTCATGAGGGATGTAAGTATGAGCTTCTGGTTGACAGCTGCCAGAAGTTCTTGACTCAAAAGTTAACTGATATCATGCGTCAACGCCAAGCGGAAGCTTCAATTCCTGTTGCTGAAAAAGTTTACTGCCCTTATCCAAGATGCTCTGCATTAATGACAAAAACTGAGGTCTTTGAGTACTCGAAAAATCTTATTGGTGAATCTGAACTGTCGGGACCCAAGAAATGCTTAAAATGTCATGGCCTTTTTTGTTTTAACTGCAAGGTCCCTTGGCATAGTGGTATGACATGTTTTATGTACAAAACGTTGAATCCCAACCCTCCTGCTGAAGATTTGAAGCTAAAGTTTCTGGCATCAAGGAGCCTATGGCGGCAGTGCGTGAAGTGTAACCATATGATTGAACTTGCCGAAGGTTGCTATCACATGACTTGCAGGTAGAGTAATAATATTTGCTTAGTTTTATCTTCGTTCGAATACTTTTTCTTCTTTTTTCCTAGCAATGGAAAGTGAGCATATATAATTCCCTGTACACATAACTGTTAACAATTAACCTACATTTAGTTATTTATAGAGGAGCACTCGTAGTACTAACAGAGTTTTACTAATACACTATACTATTGGTTAAAAATTGTTGAAACCTGCAAATTCATGAGAGACTAATGGAATAAAAATGAGACTAAAAAAATTGTGTTTAACTAAAATTGAACTGATAGCGAGAGTAAGTTTCCATTTGTCTATGCTATACAAGAAGCAAGCGCAATTGGATGGGTGATGTGGAGTCACATGTAATCTTTAATAACCTGACTGAAGTTCAAAACACGCACACATAGATAGATAGAAGAGGGATGGAAACAGCTGGGTCAACAAAATTCACTTTTATAGAGTTATTGACAGTTGTAATATTTGGTTCGGTAAAAGTTACATCAGTGTTATTTGATCGTTCTGCTATATGTGTGTATGATAGAATGCTGAAAACTTAGTGTTTTTTTTGTAGAACTAATATTAAATATGGACAACAACAGCCTTTCGCACTAGCCAATGTTGACTACATGGCTTACACAATGTTTTAATGAGCTCGGTTAAAATCTTAATTTTCAGGGATATGGTCATTGCGAGACCCGTTTATTAATTCTCTCCAATGCCCTTAATGGTTTTCCTCTAACCTCTTCATATAGTTAAAAAATCATTTAATCTATTATCCCTACTCGTGTCTCCATAGGCATTATTTGTTTGTGTCGATGTGGACCTAGTCACATTAACCAATGTTCTGTTATCTATTCCGTGATCGGTACCCACATCAATATTTTCGTAAAATAACTTTTTGTTCTCTCCTTTTTTGTGATACTACTCATTCATCAGATCATACTGGCTTCTGCTACTCTCAGTTTTTTTTATTTTTTTTGCAGTTGTCCCTTTAAGGGCCAACATTCACTATCATAAAGTATAATTGGTTGTGGAAGTACAATAAAAGTTTCCTTTGAGCATATGATTAGAAAAATAATTCTCATTGCCATTGGGGTAGAGATGACTCAAACTAAGAACTTTAGTTTGTAACATGCATATTTAAGTAAGTAGTTTTCTTATTGGGATGAATGAAGAAGTCATTAGTGTTGAATCGCAACATCATCAACGGTATGTTGGCCCATTGCTACTTTCACTTCTAATGCATGTTTCCATTTTATATAATTCTCCGGTATTTCTTGTGATTGCAGATGTGGTTCCGAATTTTGCTATAACTGTGGTGCTGAGTGGAAGGACAAAAAAGCAACGTGTTCTTGCCCACTCTGGGCAGAAGACAATATTTGGATGGAGGAGAGAGACTTGGACGAGACTGACGAGACCGACGATGATGATGACGTCTTTGGAGGATGGCTTTGATTATTGTGATGCTTATTAAGCAGCTGGCCGATTGACCAGGTTGACTGTCTCCTTCTACATCTAGTAAATATTCGTATATTTTAAATATATTACTTAGCAAAATATTGACTTCTTATTTTCTCTCTCCTTATTTTACCTCCATTTAATTTTACACTCAACCAAGCTCCAATTTTTTTCCCAATACACTGTAGCCCAGTGCGTCCTTCCCTCAATGCATATAAAAAAACAAAACAAAATCTTTTAGTTGCCCCACTTTACTCTTCATTTTCCTTTGGCTTCGCATAAAAAAAACACTTTTTGAACGAGTACAATGTCTGCAGACAAATCAACAAAAAGGACAACGATGTATGATGATGTTATTTTAATGTTAACTTCGTCGCTTAAGTGATGCACAATACGTTGAAAAACAATTATTTTCACACCTAGCATCATATTTCAACGAAATTGCGATGAAGTTACTGATAGGGGAAATGGCCACACACGATTGATGTGACTTTATTTGACGGTTTTAGATAAAGTTAGATGCCTGCCTTCTCATTGAAAAATCGTCATTTTTATTCAGAAATTTAGAATTACAATTATCTGGGCATGGGTTGGGGATTAAGTGTCTGATGGTTGGTGTTCCTGCAAAAGCTGAATACAGTTTTCGGTTTGAAATTTTCAATATGCATCTATTGTAGTGATGGTGTAGAGGTATATTTATATATTTAGAAATAGTTATTATCTGCCTTATTATTTAGGGGTAATGGGTGTTGTGGAAGAAGATGAAATCAAAATTAGGGTCATTTATTTTAAGTAGCCCTCAAAGTCTAATTTCGAGATCTAAATATATTTAACCTTTTGTGTTCAAAATAAAAATGTTAATCTTAGGATAAATACAATAAGTTTGATATATTTCAGTTTCAAAATTGAATTTGAAGCCCAAGATAAAAAATCCTAATTTACAAGACCTATTATTCCATTACCTTTAGATAATAGGATGGATAATAGTTGTTTTTAAGTCTATAAATATACTTTTACATTATCACTATAGGAAACACATTAATGTTACCTTTATTCAACTTTTGCTATAACTTTTGCCAACGAAAGTGGTGAAGTGAAAAGAGGGATCCACTAGTGCAGTAAAGGGAAACGACAATGGTTATTTTTACTCATCTGTATCGGTTCTACAACCGAGACATATACGGACGAGGTAAAAAGTCTATCACCTTTTGCCTCGGGTTTGAACCGAGGCAAAAAAGTGTATGCTTTTGCCTCGTTTCAAATGCAACTGAGTTCTTTACCAGGCAGCGGGGTCTTATGCCCTAGTTTAAAGTTGAATCGAGGCATTTTTTTAATTTTACTCAAGAAGGCCTTTCTCATATTCACTGCTCTCTCTCATCTCATCACCTTCCCTTCTTTGCATCAACCTTCTCACACCATTCTCCACAATTGAAGCACTCACCAACGACTTCCTCTGCGACCAATCCTTCACAACCAATCCAACCTTCAAAACCTTGTCACCAAAATTGCGTTTCTTAGCTGGTCCGAGTGCATTGGCCATGTTGACATTGGCACCCCAGGGATATGCTCTCTAAGCACGAGTTCCATCCACAATAACTCATAAACCCTCCTGTTGAAGGGTTGCTCAGAATTTCCAATTGGGGTGTCCAATCCCTTACAATCAGCCCCTTGCCTTCCACTCTCTCCTCAAGAAACAAACAAGATAAAATTCAAGAAAAATGCAGATCGAGTTCATAACTAGCAAAATTTTTGAGCAACAGAGAAATCTTTGAGCAACAAAAAAGTACAACAATAACCATTAACAACTTGAGGTCATAGGTGTAAAACAGAGAACAGAGAAATCTTTGAGTCGAGATCCGGTTCTTTGAGCCCTTTAAGCAAACAACTGGTGATCGAAACCTGTAGAAGAGAAATCCAAAAAACCCTCAAATTGGTACGGGCATTGATAACGCCGGAGTCCCTTGTGGCGACCTCAGAGATGGTGTTGCTGTAGTAGGAAACTCGTCGCCCAAGGGAAACAACAGCGCGCCGGACGGTCCCGCCGCAGCTTCATTCACGGGGGTTGAGGGGAACAGGCTGGACCGGGTGCTAGGCCAGCGGCACGGGCCGCACCAGGCTGTCAACGAACAACACCATATGATCTGAGAAACCCAAAAAAAAAGGGAGAGAAAGGGGATAACAGCTGAAGCAATGTAGATCTGAGAAAGGGGATAAAAACACTAAAATTGTGGAAGGGGATCTGGATTATAACCCTAGGCAGAGGCATGACAACAGAGGCGCGTCGACAGAGGCGCGACGACAAAGATGCGACAACAGAGGCGTGACGACAGAGGCAGAGGTGCTACGAGTGAGGCGGAGGCGGAGGCGATTGCACGACGACAAAGTTGTTGGCAGCCGTGATGAGGCAGAGGCGAGAGACGACAACAATGGCCCGCGCGACAATGGCAATGGCCCGCAAGGAAGACGAAGCAACAATGGCCTCAAGGAAGATGAAGAATGGCTCTTGCACAAGGAAGAAGAAGGAGAACACAAGAAAGAAGAAGAAGAAGAATGGCAGAGGAAGCAACGCGAGGCTGCGAAGAAGAGAATGGTTAAAATTTCTTAAGTTAACCAAGTGATAATACCTCGATTATAAGCCCACTCGATGCCTATGAACCTTTTGACACCAGCTTCCAAGGACCCGAGGCAATAGTGGTTCTTTAAACTGTTCAGAAAAGTAGATTTGACAAGTTTTTATGTCTCGGTTTCTTCTCAACCGAGGCAATAGGCGTTTCCAGAAAAGGTGTGTCAGACAAAAGGTCTGACTTGCAGAAAGTAGGTGGAAATGGTAGACTTTTATGCTTCGGTTTCTTTTATAACCGAGGTAAAAGACCCTTTCTGCTTTGGGTGTCCTGAAACCGAAGCATAAACATTCGCTATTATTACAAACGAGCCACTGTGTTTTTATATGCTTCGGTTTTGATAAAACTGAAATCTATATAGCGCGTTAGAAAACAAATTTTTTACTATGACAATGGTTTCGGTACAAGTTTCATTATTGTATCTCTGTAAAAATTTGTACTTATCTATATATTTAACGATTATAATTTTTTTATCTGTCTTAATTAATTAACTTATATTAAAAAATCACAAAAAATGATATTATCAAAATTTAATATATTAAAAATCATATTGAATGTCAAATATTTATAAATAAATGATAATTATATAAATTTTGAAGGAAAGTATAAAATAAGTATCAAATAATATATGTATAATGTAAATAATATACTATAATAAAATTATAATAATATAAAGAATAATAATAAAATAAATAATTATCTATACATATAATAATAAGGTTTAATACCCAATTTTGTCCCCATTTTGGTTCGGAAATCTCAATTTAGTCTCTCGTTAGAAAAGTTATTGTAATGGATCCTTACTTGTACATTTGTGAGTCAAGTTAGTCCCTTCCGTTAAATATAAGCAAACGGAGTTAATGGATGATGATGTGGCAGTAGTTAGTGGTTAGGTGTCAAAATGCAATTGTCTGCATGCCACCTCTCTCGGAGGAACTGAAGCAAAGCACCGACGCAGAGGTAAAATGTCAATGTCCATTTCTCTGTTTCACCACTAAGCTTTAATTAAATAAAAAATAATACTATATGTAGGAGAAAATTGTTCATAATAAAAAATCATAGAAATTATATATGAAAAAAAATATATTGCTAGAAATATTATAAAATTGTTTGAAATCAAATGGAAATATATTGTATAAAAATATTATTCCTGCATCTTCTTAATTCACAGTTAAGAAGTTTTGAATTATTTTTCTTTCATTTTCGTGTATTTAAATTTTTCTTTCTTGTAAAATATATTTATATTCATTTTACGAGTTTTCAGTTTTTCAATTTCCTTCTACTTTTCATTTTAAAAAATAAGAAATTAAACTGTATGGTGGTATTGTATTGGTAACAGTGGCACATATATGAATAATAAAAAGGAGTACATGAAACCTTACTAGGTCGCGCCACCTCCCTCTCCAAATACCTCACCACCTGTCTCATGCTGGGCCTCTTCTCTGGTGCCTCCGCGTAACAGTACAACCACACTTTAATAGCTACCAAAACTTCCACCTCATCAAATGCCCCACCCAACCTAGGGTCCACCACGGCCAGCGGCGCCCCCATGCGCCACCGCTCCCAGACCCAGTCCACCAGCACCAGCTCCTCCGACAATGCCTTCACCTCAATGGGCCTCCTCCCGCACACCACCTCCAACAACACTCCGAAAGCGTAAACATCAGAACTGGTGGTGGGTTTCCCCGTTCGTGTGAGTTCAGGTGCAAGGTAACCCCATCGTTCCCACATGAGTTCAACTGCGAATTTATTCCCAATTAAAATAAACCCAATTTCTAATAAAACCCAAACTTCTCTAATTCAACACTACGTAAGCACGTACACTATTGCGTTTTGATACCTAACCACTAACTGCTGCCACATCATCATCCATTAACACCGTTTGCTTATATTTAACGAAAGGGACTAACTTGACTCACAAATGTACAAGTAAGGATCCATTACAATTACTTTTCTAACGAGGGACTAAATTGAGATTTTCGAACCAAACTGGAGACAAAATTGGGTATTAAACCTAATAATAATAATAAAATTACCTATAATACAATTATCTATTTCAATTTTACCTTTTAAATAATTTTTTTAATTAAAATAATTATTTTATCAATATTACCTTGACTATGGTTTATATTTAATTTCTTTTCTATTTGATGTTTTATTTTTAAATTTAACTATTTTTTAATTAAAAATTACCTATAAAATAAATAAAAAGTACTTACAATAAAAATATAAAAATTATTTATATTTAATTTTATAATTATAATAGTAACAATAATAATAGTTTTATTATTTTTATTATCATAAAAAAAAATTGTCAGAACCTTAAATTATGTAGAGTAGTGGAAGCCAGGTGGAGGGGTGAGAATTTAGAAATTCAGAAAGTGGAAGACAGGTGTGAGCAGCGAAGTGGACCGATCGGTTTTTGACGGTAGTATTTAAGGGAAAATTTCAAATCAGGTGTCACTTTCTGCATGCAATCTCTTCCCTAACTTTCTGAAAACTCATTTTCTTCTCTAACTTATCTCTAAAATATCATATTTTCCTCCACTGATTTCACGTTTTCCTTCATCTGATCATTCATCAGAGGGTGTTTGAGGTTTGCAGGTGGTAAGGGTTCTCTTTTCAAACGATTAAGTAGTGGTTTGAGCTGGTAGGTCTTTCTACTTTTAAGAAAATCTAAGTTTCGGGCACATGCAAACCAAGTTCTGTTTGCATGTGTTTATCTTCTTCTTCTTCTAAGGTTCTAATCACATTTTTGGTTTGTGGTTGGTCTATTTTTCCCAAATCAGTGAATCTTAGGTTCTGAGATTTT